CAAGCGCACACGCGGCGGTGACTGAGGACCCCAAACCGTCGACTTCAGCGTCAGCATCAGCTGACACGAAGACGAAGGTGGACCAACCCTCAAAGTCATCGTCTGCGAACGCGCGAGGGAGAAAGGGGAAAGGGGAAAACCTCTGACGCAGAACACGGCGAGTGCCAAGGCACCACCAACGCCCTCTGTACAGAAGGCACCGGTGGAACCGACTGGTCGAGAGCCAAGGTTCAAGCGACAGAGAACGGACGACTCCACAAAAGCTTCCGAGTCCAAGAAGGCGAAACCAGAGGACATTCTGGCCAGCCTAGGATCGCCGGCCGAGCTGCAGGTAGCCATCATCGACCAAAGTCACCCAGAGGGGAAGATATCGGACGTCAATTGGCTGAAGGCAGAATCGGAGATCCTGACCGCCATGAAGGATGCCATTGTGCGCGCAGATAACCCGTTTGTCTGCGAGTTCAAGGGTATCAAGTGGTATAAGGGAGCCAAAGCAGTGGCCTGTGGCAATGCAGAAACTCTTGAGTTTCTAAAAACCACGGTCCAAGGTTTTGGTGAACTTTGGCCAGGAGCGGCACTCCGCGTGGTCCCGACGGATCAGATTCCCAGGAGAACGATCATGAAGGTATAGATTCCTCCCCCGATTAAGGCGGATGAGGACACACTCGTTCTGATCAAGGCACAGAACCGGATCCTGGAGACATCGGACTGGACCATCACAAGAGCGATAGCGCGAGACAAGGGGAACGGCAAGGAACTCTGGATCAGCATTGGTCAAGAAAGCCTGGCCAAACTCCTTGCAACGGACTGCCGCATATCCTTTGGTATGGGCACCCTGGCGGTAGCAGTACCGCGACACCCCAGGTCCGCTGAATAGCATGAAGGTGGTGCAGATGCTGCAGATGAAGATGCTGCATCACTCAAGTGTACCATCGGCGGACCTGCTGCGGTTTATGGAGGAGAAGGCGGTGGACGTGGCCCTCATCCAAGAGCCCTGGATCGTAAGTGAAAGGGTTCGGGGACTGAACGGTCGCGGATACCGCCTTCTCACGCCACACCCCGCGTGTAAGCCAAGAACCTGTATCGTGGTAAGGAACTAGCTTAATGTTCTGTTTTCTTCCAGGTACAGCACTCCGGACCTAACGGTGGCACTATGTGAGAGGGAGGACGGGAAAAAACCTATACCTAGCCTCTGCATACCTGCCGTACGAAGAGGAAGACCCACCCTCGGAGGATGTCAGCACCCTGATCCACCAAGCGCGGAGGGAGGGACTTGATATTGTCTTAGGCTGTGACGCGAATGCCCATCACTCCCTCTGGGGAAGTACGGGCACAAATTCTAGAGGAGAGTCGCTGTTCGAGTACATTCTGTCCACAAATCTTGTTGTGTGCAACCGGGGAGACCACCCCACCTTCCGCAACAGGAACCGTGCAGAGGTTATAGATATAACACTGGCCTCGAATAGCGACTCCCTTACCATCGATGACTGGCACGTGTCCAGTGAGTGTTCCTTTTCGGACCACTACAGGATAGTGTACAGCATCAAATGGAACAAGGAGAGGCCCAAGGCCTACCGCAATCCCAAGCGGACAGACTGGAACCGCTTCTCCGCAACCGTACAGAAGGTGCTGCCTAACCCACCGGAAGGGGACATAATTCAAACGGAAGCACTAGAGAAAGCTACGCAGACCGTCACTAATGCTCTACAGATGGCGTTTCTCAAATCCTGCCCGATCAGCCGACCCCCAAAGTCCAATCACAACCCGTGGTGGACACGGGAGTTGAGCGAAGTCAGAAAGGAATCGAGGAAGCTCTTCAATAAAGCAAAAGTGACAAACACACAGGAAAGTTGGGACGAGTATCGCCGCAGCTTCAATACCTACAAAAACACCTGTAGGAGGGCGAAAAGGGAATCATGGGCAGCCTTCTGCGATGCCATAGATGGTACCACTGAGGCCTCAAGGCTTCGACGCGCCAATCTAGGCTCCTCCTCGACAAGAAAGACGGTCACACGAGGTACTCCGCAAGGGGGAGTTATATCCCCTCTACTGTGGAACCTGGTCCTCAACGACCTCCTTCTTCAGCTGGGGAGGAGCGGATATAAGGTTACGGCCTATGCAGACGATCTAGTAATACTGGTAACGGGTAAATTTCTGCCCACAATCAGTGACCTTCTAGAATCTGCACTGGGCACTACCGCTAGCTGGGCACGCCAGAACGGTTTGGGGGTCAATCCTCAAAAAACAGAACTGGTGCTGTTCTCACGAAGATATAAGATACCGAGTTTCAAACTACCAGCAATCGGTGGAACGACACTCGAGCTATCGAGCGAAGCCAAGTATCTTGGTGTCATCCTTGACTCCAAACTCTCCTGGAAGAGAAACACGGAGGAAAGGAAGAAAAAGGCAATGGCAGCTTTCTACACCTGTAAGAAGACTTTTGGACGAACATGGGGCTTACAGCCGCACATCATCCATTGGATGTATACAGCGGTAATAAGACCCATCCTGACATACGGAGGCATGGTATGGTGGGAAGCGGTTAACACCAAATCCCACCTGGAGAACCTCCGTAAGTGCAAGGCTGAGACAAGTGCCGCTAGGCTATTAGCCGCGCAGTTCTTCAAGCCATCGCCTTATGGCCACGCCACTATACTCCGTATGGAAGATAGTGGAACGGCCAGGTGGAGTGACTACTGTGTCTCAGAGTTCTCACGGAAAAGAAACTTTAAAGGACACATACCGGATAGGGAGAAATGGAAGAGTAACACTGTCCTGGGGCAGAACGAGCTCTCCATTTTCACCGACGGGTCAAAGACGGCCGAAGGGACAGGAGCTGGAATCTTCTCCGAAGAACTAGCAACCAACATATCCCTAAGACTACCAGACTGGTGCAGTGTATTCCAGGCGGAGATATATGCAGTATGGCAAGCGGCAAAGTTGGTATACACCTTGGAGATACCTCCGAGGAACATAGCAATCTGCGTTGACAGTCAAGCTGACATCAAAGCCCTGGTATCCTGCAAGACCACAAGCAGACTCGTACGTGATACGGTTAACGCACTAAACCAGATCAGCGCGCACTCAATCACACTCACGTGGGTTCCGGGTCACACCGACATAGCGGGCAACGAGAGTGCGGACGAGTGTGCCAGAACTGGATCGGCCAAGCCAATGGCGGACGCAGTCAGCGACATAAGGAGACCACTACGAGACATCATCTCGCAGATGATGGGCCGAGCCAGAACGAGATCGGACAGGAGGTGGAACACCACACCCAACTGTGAGATCTCTCGCTCGCTCTGGCCCCACTACGACCTTAAACGCACCAAGACTCTCCTAAGCTTCAGGAAGAGTCGGGTGCGAACACTGACGGGAGTTATAACGGGGCACTGTGTCATCGGCCGCATGGCCACAAGGTACAGACTGCCCCACCATGACTTCTGCCGCAGCTGCAGGGACGAGGAGGAAATAGAGAGCATCCAGCACCTTCTCTGCAACTGTCCTGCACTCATGGGGAGGCGTCACCGAGTACTTCTATGAAGATCTGGACAGCCTGGCAAACATGCCTCTAGAGAAACTGGTGCTCTTTATAGAGGCCTCGGGATGGTTCGCGAAACCTCCCTAGGCACCGGACAATATCCCGTGACGAGTGTGGGCATCACAATGGGCAGACTTGCCTCCGAGTGACCTCGACTTCAGTCGAGCAGCCCTATAAACCTAACCTAACCTAACCCTCTAGGGCGATAATCTGAGTGCGCAGGAGCTGGCTAAGAACCCAGTTCATCACTCAATGACAAAGCATATTGATATAAGATACCATTTCGTTCGTCAGGTTGTAGAAGAGGGTCAAGTTAACTTAAAGTATGCTAGTACAAACGAAATGATTGCTAATGTCTTGACTGCAAATGATTGCAAATGAACGAACGCAACGGCTACGTCTTTTCTGTTAAAATATAATTTCCACGGCATTGGTCAAACTCTGTTCAACAGTTCCATATTCGCCTCTATTGTCAGAATCATACAAAGCGCAAATTAACGTAGACTATTGCAGATCTCTGAAATCGATGAACAACTTTGAACAACGTGGTGGAAGCAGCGATTTGGAGTGGACCTTTCAAAGGTAAAGATGTCTTCATTCCTTGGATTCCCACGATCCCGACGGATACACCATTTGAATTCAAAAGATGGCAATTTCCCATCCGATTGTCAATCGCAATGACAGTTATTAAAATGCAGAGATTGACCTGCAATTGTGTGGTTTGGACTTAGATGTGGATTACTTTTCACACGGACAATTGTATGTTGCGTATTCCCGTGTCGGTAAACCAATAGCCTTCATATTTACGCGCAGAATGGAGAAACGAAAAATATTGTATACCAACAAGTACTGCAAAATGAAAAGTATTTATATCTTATGATTTGTTGTGTTCCTCATTTCTTATGCGTGCAACCATAATATACCACAGCGAAACGTTGCAAGGTATTTATAGTATTTATTATTTAGTATTTATCCGGCAAGACGCAAAGAAGCATGACGCAGCCCCAATGTAAGCAGCCTATAAAATTGAATGAATGCCCTAAAATTCTGTGGTGAAATATGCAGAAATATGAAAAAAAAAAAAAAACAAAAAGTGAACATATTACATTACGACATATTACGACATATTACGGGAGCAAAATTTATATTTGGATCAATATACCAATTACGTACCGCAGTGAAAAAAAATCAGGGAAGACAAACAGAAATCCTAGTACTCAGACGCGTTTAACTTTCCGTCGACTGAAATCAGGGATGATATTCGTATGAAATCGATAAGAAATCATCCCTGTTTTTCGGTCGACCGAAAATTTCTAGCCGGCGTTTCGCAGACCGGTACTCAGTTCCGAAAAAAGGCCATTCGATAAGGCTATGACGGAGGCTATGATGGCCAACACTGGAGGACCACGGTAGCGCAGCAGACAACCCATCGCCGGGGTGGGCACCTCCATCATCCTATATGGATCAGCCGTGTACCAGCAATGGGGGTTCCTACGTAGAGCAGAGAGAGCAGAAGCGCATACCGACGCTGTGCACTCAGGGTTGCATGCCTCAGGACGGTGTCCTAAGACGCCGCGCCAAGAACCCGTAAAGCCTGATGACCTTACACGGAGCACGAATATAACTAAAGCAAAAGAGAATGAATCTCTAGGAAAACCTAAAACCTCTTAATATTTATTTATTTCTACATAACAAGTTTTCCATAACTTCAGCCTCCTTCTTAAACATAAGTGCTATTCAGATGGTAAACTACATAATTATAGAATGTTTTCCCTGATAAAAATAGGCGAAAAAAACGAAATTGCATAAACTTTACTGGCAATGCCAGTGCTCTGCTACTTCAACTTTCTTTCTATTTCACGAGAAGGAACGTGTGAGTTGGTTCTGGGGACGCGATTCTACTTTTATACCCGTATTCTCAGTCAGTATATAAATTTTTGAGCTTATGATTAATGAAAAAATTGTTTAATTATTTTTTTAAATGTAGATTCTACATCTTCTCTGAAAGGGTCGCACACTGCACAGAGCAGAGTGTGTGCGAGCGAGAAAGATCATAAGTAGCGTCAACAGCGCTGGAGGAGGTGGGGGAAGCAACTGAAAATTAATTTAAATCTTTTGTGGGGTCGGAAGGGAACGGGGTGACATTTTGAAATACACTTGTAGCAGTGTGATATCACATGAGTCTGGAAACAAAAATTTGGTGTCTCTGAGGTCTAAGCGCTCATCAAGACGGACCGACAGACAGATATGGCTATATCGACTTGGCTATTGATGCTGATCAAGAATATATACTTTATGGGATCGGAAACGATTAATAATCATTAATAAACTAATAAACAGCAGCCTATGGATTTCTGGACCACCGTTATTGCTGCGTAGCAGCTCGGAGTGGTCTGCAGACCTGCAATTGCCTACTGATGTACTAGAGCGTCGTCGTGTAGCACTTGTCAGTTCAAAGGAAAGGGATATATCGTACAATTGGAAATTTCAAAACTCCGTTGGATCGATGCAGCGCGTTTTAGCCTAAATATATCGATTTTACATTCTAAAGGACATCATTTGCATCTACATTTTCACTCTAGATGAGCTTCAGACCTTGACATGTGAAGTATCTGCTTGTTTAAATTCCCGTCCGCTTTATGCATGGGGCAGACGCGAAGTCTCCTGGCTGAGTCTCCGAGGCGCAAGAAGTCTACTCCGAGGGACTTGCAAGTGCCATCTGTTTCATGTCCACCGGCATCTGAAAAACTTACTCTGACCACTCCTTCAGTGCAGCAACGGCAACGATCGCTGCTGATGATGCAGATTCAGGAGCCGAATGCGTCACTTTGGAGAGTATGCAGTTAGAAATGTCTGTAGCATCCGTGTCCGTTGAGTCCGCACCCAACTATTTAGCTATCCCATCAGTTTCGCTCCCACCAGCTAAAAGCCGTCCAGGACCACCGGATATTGCCATCAAAGGTAGGCCTCTGGTGCCAAAAACACTGGGGGGAGTCCCACCAAAGTGACAAGTTTTTGTCTCGCGGCTAGCCCCTGAAATCAAATCCAATGATGTAACCGCTTTTATACAAAGCAAAATGAAAGCCATCGGCTGGAGTGGAGAAATTTAACTTTTCTTACGGCAGGGAGATATCTTCCTTCAAGATAAGAGTCTCCCCGACTCGATTTGAAACCGTTTGTTCCGCCAAGTTTTGGCCAAGCATTTTGTGGTTAAAGAGTTTAAGGCTAAGAAAAAGAATAGCCCCCCCCCCCCACAAATTTTCCTAGTAGTTAGACCAGTGCTCCATCTCCACCCTACTCTTCCACCTCTTCTTCTACCCATCCCAAAAACTAACTTCTTCTAACCCCCAATCTGGAAGGAATCTTGTATTCTTCCGCTCTATTAGAAAGGTAGCAGGTCTGATTGAAATAATTATATGGGTATATCTAAGTTACCCGCTTTCCTATAATGTTTGAACAAATTTTAACTCTGCATTTGCAACATCTCTGCAAATCACTTATATCTCCGTCTCAGCACGGATTTATATGGTGACGATTAAAAACCACAAATTTATTAGAGTTTACCTCTTTTATCATTAAAAGCTTCCAAGGTATCACTTACCTGCCTTCAGTAATAACAAACTCTCGAGTACTCATGTATGCGGATGATGTTAACCCCTGTGTCCAGTATAAGGAAATTTCATTGCACTCTCGCTTGCAATCCGATCTCAATAACTTTCAGTCATGGTGTTGTGCAAATTTGTTACACCTAAATGCCTCGAAATGCAATGTAATGACATTTTATCGCTCCAGCCCCTTTTTGGCTCCTTATAACCTCTGCGGTGGTTCTCTTGAGAGAATTAACTTGGTTGATGATCATGGTGTTAAAATAGACCCAAAGTTAAAGTTGTCTGAACACATTTCTACCATGGCCTACCATAAGGCCAAGGGCGTGCTTGGGTTTATAAAGAGGTGGTCATAGGAATTTGACTAACTCTATATAACGAAGACTCTATCTCGCTTGTTCGTCTGATTTTAGAGTACGGCTCTTATGTATGGTGCCCCAGAACAAAGTACACCAGGACCGTATACAATCAATCCAGAAAAACTTTTTACTTTTTTCTCTACGTGGCCTCAACTGGGATGCAGGTGTGAGACTGCCATCTTAGCCTCGTAGATTTGTTTTAATCAACTTTCCAACCTTAGTTAGTCGTAGAAAAATGCTTGGTGTGATTTTTATGCACAGCCTGATCCAGTGTTACGTAGATTGCCCTGACTTCTTGAGCCGTATAAACTTCACGATACCTATTAGATCCACTAGAAACTTTATTCCCTTGTTCCTTCCACTTTGTAGATCGAATTATTCCTTGCATGAACCGTTTAGGGTCGTATGCTCGGACTAAAATTTGTTCTACCTTCTAATATCCACTACTAATTCCATTCCTCTTCTTAAATCACTAATACTAACATACCTTTCCCGTAATTAGTACTATTTCTTAGCTATCTTTGCATGTTTAGCTCTTCGAGTTGTGTTTATCAAATAAAATACTAAATTAAATACTAATATACCTTTCCCGTAATTATCACTATTTCCTTGTGTATCTTTGCATCTTTAGCTCATTTAGTTGTGTTTAGTTGTGTGAAGGACTGAAATTCCTGCTTTTGAGCGTGCACATGGACCAATAGTCGACAATCAATTCGCAGTTCCAAACACATAAAAAACGAAATCTACGAAGCATTAAAAGGCATTGGCGAAATTTCTGGAGACTTTGACAACGGCGCTATACCCACATCTTTAGCTAGCAGTGGGGCAGACAAGGACGGATATGCTATGCTACCACTCGGTAGCCGTAAAGCAAATTTTCACCTACTGCTGGCTGTGTGACAATATCGCACATACGGTATGCGCTGACCTCGGCCAAATCTACGTGGACGCGTAGGCGACTTGATAAAGTCTCGTTGTGGCCTTAACTGGACATGCTGGGACTGCAGGCAGATTGAAAGCGACATGCGAGTTTTTATAAGACAAACTCATAATGAATTCGCGGCTGTCAACTCTGGATTCCGACTGTTACAGGAAAAGATTCTTTCCATAGAGTCTCACTTCAAGAATCTTAAAACTTTAACTGAGTCGCCTAAGAGAAAGAAAGGTTACAATTGTCTGCCCACTGGTAACAATGGTGTTTTTCTTGCAGTTCCTGGATCTCCTCTACCCCCAATTCGTTCGCCGTCTTTAATAGACTTTGGTGCTGTCGAACTTTGATGTAATGGGGCACCGACTGTGGCTTCTGCATCCGCCCCCTCAACAGCCGCCTGTCCCGTGCCTGTGTCTGACTGCGATGTCGGTGCCTTCACTGGAACCTGCTGACGCTGCCGTCAGCATGGATGTGGAGGCTCTGTCTACCTCGGCATCCATCGTTAACTCAGAATATGGCCCATTATCAGCTGATTCTGCCCTTCAGGTTGAATTTTCTCCGACGGCTCTGCCTAATAGCTCTACTATCCCTCCTTCTATTCTAACTGCTTTCACCACACTAAAGTCTATTTTCTTTTCTCGACTGATGGTATCGGCTACGGATGTCCTGGTCAGGGAATTTATCTTTTCTAAGATTCATATTGAAGATTCCTCAAGTCTTGTTGTCACTAAATTTAACTTTATATCTTCCTTCAAAATTCTTGTTCCTGACAAACATGTGAGTAGTGTGCTCCGCCCCCTTTCTGGCCTGAACAAACTATCTGTCATGTGTTTACAAATCTTCCCTATAGACCTGAACGTCGAGTGGGTGTCCTTCCAACTTCATCTCCGACTGCTTTAACTTCTGTCCGTCCAACTCTATCTCCGGCAGCATTACCCTCGAAAAACAAATTTATCTTGTTTCCCTTAAGATAACCTATCAGAATGATCGTGGCGTGGGCAGTTAGCTTAACAAGCTATATACTGACAGTACATCTTTCAGGACTGATGTAATCGCTTTTTCTGAAACCTGGCTCAACTCCTCTATTTATGACTCCGAGATTCTCATTGATAAATTTAACATATATATGTATGATCGTCCATCTCGTGGTGGCGGTGTCTTGATTGCTGTTCGTTCGGACATAGCTTCTCAAATCTGTCACGTCGAAGGGCATAATAACATTGAAATTATTGTTGGTAAGCTTTGCTGGCCCTCTTTTAATCTCTTTATATCCTGCTCTTACATTCCGCCGTCCTCCGATTTCTCCACTTATATGCTTCACGTTTCACATCTTCATTCTGTTTGTCTGTCATTCTCTGATCGTCTTATAGCCCTTGGAGACTTTAACCTATCTAATATCCCATGGTCTCTGTTCAGATTGAGGACGGCGCTGGCGGGGCAACAGCTCTGTGGGCATTCCAGCCACACCACTGTTAGCAATTCAGCTACGCAAGCTGTTACCCTCGCTTTTGCTCTCACGCCTATGAGCGTTTTTCCCCCAGAGTCTGCAGAGGGTCTCCTCTATCTTTTCCAGAAGACCCTTATCATCCCAAACTTGAAATTTCCGTGCAGTTGCCCTCCTCTGATCACATCAAATCTTCCGTAAAGCCACCATCTATATTTGGCTTCAGGAAAGCAGATTTTACGTGCTTGAATCTTGTACTTTCACAGATCGATCGGGCATTTATTGTTCCTTGTTCAATGTCTTTAATACCTATGTACCTTTAATTTCACCTTCGCGTCATGTTAGTGGCCCTATTTGGTTCACCCCGCGTTTGATAAACCTTCGGAATATTAAATCTCGCTTGTATAAAAGGTTCAAAAGAACTGGTTCGCAATCTGACTTCTCTAGGTATTCAATCGCTAAGAGTAAATTTCTTTTATTTAATAAAAAATGTTATAATGACTACCTGTTCAAATGTAGACTTAGCTTTAAGCGTGATCCGAAGCAATTTTTTTGGTTTGTCAACTCGAAACGTAAATCTTCCCAATTTCCGTCATATTTTTCTTTGAATGGCAGAAAAGCTGATTACGATTGTGATATTGCTAATCTCTTCGCTTCATTTATTCAACTCTGCTACTCACTTCCGTCTAATAACCATCCCTCTATTCTGATTTTTTTTACATACTTTGTCCCAATCAATCTTATCCTTTCCATACGAATAGTTCGAACTGTATCTATCCCCCCTTCATCGACTATAATAACCTCTTGTCTAATTAAAAGTCATGTAAATTTTCTTTTCCTACCGACCCCGATATGGTTCCTAGTGCTGTTCTTAAACTTTGTGCAGATTCTCTATGTGTGCCCCTCCTCAAACTGTTTTGCCTTTGATTAAGTAAATCATAATCTGCTTATTCATAAATTATCTCTCCTAGGGTTTCCGCCTAAACTTATTTTCTGGCTTAATGCATACTTTTGTAATCGATCTCAGCGTGTCTGTTTTAATAACTCTCTTTCTAAGCCTGTTTCTGTATCGTCGGGGGTACATCAAGGTAGCCATCTTGGCCCTCTGTTGTTTAATTTTTTCATCAATGATCTTCCCCAAGTCTTAACTCATTCCCGAGTACTTATGTTTGCGGACGATGTGAAGTTATGTTTCTCCTATAGCGACCCCATTATGTATCCAATCTGATCTTGTCGCTTTCAACAACTGGTGCTTAATAAACATTCTTCCCCTTAACATTTCCAAATGTAACATCATGACATTTCATCGCAGCAAGCCTTACCTTTTTGACTAAAATATCCATTATTGGTCCCTAAACCGCCTTTACAAAATTACTGACTTGGGAATTATCTTTATACCTAATCTGTGTTATTACTCGCACATATCCGCCTTTTCGAATAAAGCTAGAGGTGTCCTGGTGGTCAAAAAGGTGGTCTAAAGAGTTCACGGACCCTTATAACACTAAACTTTTATATGTATGGTTCCTGCGTTTGGTCTCCGCACTATCAAAAATATCAGGATATGATTGAGTCCGTTCAAAAACAGTTTATTCTTTTTGCTTTTCGTGGCCTTAATTGGGACCCCTCTAGACATCTTTCTTCTTATGAGAGTAGGCTCCGGCTCCTCGATATCCGCTCTCTTAAAAGCCGCAGGATTTGCCATGGAGTTATTATTCTTATTATTCTTATTCTGCCCTCAGTAGCCTTATTAGCATTTCTGTCCCTTCCCACCCGACTAGGCATTACTTTCCGATTCATCTTCAACTCTGTCTTTCTTACTCTGACCATGAATCTTTCCGTAGCCTTTGCCGTAACTACAATACCTTCTTCCTTCTTCTGCGGCGGTAAAATCAATCCAGAAAAACTTTTTTCTCTACGTGGCCTCAGCTGGGATGCAGGTTGGAGACTGCCATCTTACCCTCGTAGATTGGTTTTAATCAACCTTCCAGCCTTAGTTAGTCGTAGAAAAATGCTTGGTGTGATTTTTATGCACAACCTGATCAAGGGTGACGTAGATAGCCCTGACTAGTTGAGCAGCATAAACTTTACAATTCCTTTTAGATCTACTAGAGACTTTATTCCTTTGTTCCTTCCACTTTGTTTATCAAATTATTCCTTGCACGAACCATTTAGGGTCCTATGCTCAGTCCTATTGAATTCCCTCTACCATACAATACCTATTCCGCGCGTAACAGGCTTCGACTTGGTGTCGCAAAAAAAAATGACGTGCGTTTGAGACGATATTTTCGGACTCTTCAAGTAACAGAGTGAAGCTTACGACCCAACAGATTGGAGGTAATTTGTTGACAGCAGCAAGAAAAATTCAAAGGCTGTTTTATTACACGATCGAAACCAAAAGCCCATCGCCCATGCTGTTAATATGAAGGAAACATATCAAAAAATTACTAAATTATTTGAAAATATTAAATATAAAGAACACCAGTGGAAGGTCGCATGTGACTTAAAAGTCGTAGCCATGTTAACTGGATTGCAAGGTGGTTACACAAAATACTGCTGCTTCCCGTGTCTATGGGATAGTAGATCTAGAGAAGAGCATTACTCAAGAAAACTCTGGTCAAAACGGGAGGAACATACTTTGGAAAATTACAACATACAGAATTCAGCTCCTGTGAAGTTTAAAGACGTTTTTTTACCACCATTACACATTAAGCTGGGACTAATGAAAAATTTTGTTAAAGCACTGGATAAGGAAGGTGAATCGAAAAGTTACTTAAAAACTGTTTTTTCACGTCTGTCGCTGGCAAAAGTTAAAGATAGCGTATTTGATGGCCCCCAAAATTCGAAAACTACTAAAAGATGATGAATTTGAATATATGTTATATACAAATGAAAAGAAACAAGAAAAAAACTTGAAATTTGATTGAAATTAATATGGACAGTTAAGCTAATTATTTCCTGGTGACATGGGGACATAATGGGATAGGGTGAAAACGTAAAAGGATTTCCGAAAAATTATCGCATATCAGAAATCGTGGAAGGGTGGATAAGGAATAGTGCGGGTCGATTTTTGATCTTATAACACTAGTTGACGCGAGTTTTCCTCAAGGAACAAATCCAACTCTTACTTAAAGATTTTGGGCTTAGAAATGGTTTGATGATATTTTTTTTCTTTCTATGGCAGAACTTTTTTAAGAATTTTCGAAAACTGGTAAGCTTTTTTCAGTAGTATCTTACCTCTGGTTGTAAAGAACTTTGCTATTTTGAAAAGATAAGACAGCTAGAAGTTAAGCCGAAACACTTTGTGATTTCATCTTACCGTCTGGGAAATTTAAAGCATTAAAATGCAAAAATTATGATTTTTGTGCGGTATTTTTTACGACATTTTGACTTTAAAAACTCAGGAAAAGTCGGCAAAATATTATATCCTGTCTTCTCTATTTTTATACCCGTACTCAAAAAAGAGTTAAGGGGTATATTAGATTTGTGGTATAAGTGGATGTGTGTAACGCAGAGAAGGAAACGTTTCCGACCCCATAAAGTATAGACGATATAGACATGTCTGTCTGTCCGTCTGTCCGTCTGTCTGTCTGTCTGTCCGTCTTGTTGAGCGCTTAGATCTCAGAGACTACGAGTATAAGAGCTAGGGCAACCAAATTTGGTTTCCAGACTCATGTGATATCACACTGCTGCAAGTGTATTTTTTAAATTTCGCCCCGCCCCCTTCCGCCCACACAAATGACGAAAATCTGTGGCAGGCACATTTTTAAAGATACGATAAAACTAAAAACGCAGTAGCGTAGATAATGCCTATATCTACCAGATTGAATCTGAATTAGATCGGATCATAATTATAGCCAGAATGTAGAAATTAATTTTCAGTTGCTTCCCCTGCCCCCTGCCCCATCCTACCAACGACCATGCAACTCATTCTTTTTCTCGCTCGCACACTCTGCCACGTTCAGTGCGCGAACAACTAGCGGAGGAGATGTAGAATATGAATGGTACATCTATAATCTACATGTTAGATGTAAAGTATAGATTGTAGATGTAGATAACAGATGTAGCAAAAAAATTTAAAATGTAAAATTTTTTTTTTGTAATTCTAAAATTCTAAAAAATCAAATGCTCAAAAATGTACTGACTGAGTACGGGTATAAGTAGAGTCGCGTCCCCAGAAGCGACTCGCACGTTCCTTCTCGTTTTTTTTTATTCTAAAATTCTAAAAAATCAAATACCTTTATATTGTGTTTATCCAGGTTTGTTGGACGTCGTGGGCCCCTTGTCAAGCTGTATTGCGACAACACCACGAATTTTGTTGGTGCAGCTCGCATGCTAAAGGAGCGTGTGGAGGGCATGGATGCCAAGGACGAGGCTCTCAACGCTTATGCTGCGGCCCACCGGTTTTCAGTGGAGTTCATCCCTCCTCGAGCTCCGCACATTGGAGGCCTGTGGGAGTCAGCGGTGAAGTCCGCCAAACATTTGCAGCTCAGGGCCATGGGCAACGCAGTGCTCAAGGAGGTGCTTCTCGTGGAAGTCGAGGCCGTACTCAACTCCAGGCCATTGGTGGTCGACAGCGGCAGTCCCAACGACGGGGAGGTGCTGACTCCCGCGCATCTACTAGTCGGCAGAATGCTAGTTTCTCTGCCGCCCGAATTAGGGCTGCCCAGACTAGACAACAGCCTATCGTATCTGCAACGATGGCAGCTCGTGTCTGCCATCAAGCAAAAATTCTGGAAAGATTGGTCCAGAGACTATCTTCTCAGCCTTCAGCAGCGAGGGAACTTGTCCGAGGAGGTCGCCAATCTGGAGCCAGGCAGAGTGGTGGCAATCCACGAGGACAACGTGCCCCCTCAAATGTGGCTCATAGGAGCAGTGGAGGAGGCAATCCCAGAAGCCGACGGGAATGTTCACGTGGCCGTAGTGAGGACTAAGGCCGGAATTTATAAGCGGTCCATCCATCGATTGGCGCCGATTCCAACAGATTGAAGCCTATAGGCTCTCAACGCGGCCGATGTTGAGGCAAATCACTCGACTGTGTTTAAATGTTAAGACCCTAGCAATTGAAATAAACTTGAATTTATGTTAACGCTCTTGAAATGTTAGATCTAGTCTCTTATACGATCGAAACTTATGCTAGCAGCGGCCGCTCATGATGGGGGCGACGCTGCCAAAATACATTCACTCATATTCTGAAGTCGCACCAGCGTACAAGTTTCTCTGTCGGTCTGTCCGGTTCCGTGTCTACCATCCAACTATATACTCGTGCCTAACGGCAAAAGAATAGTTGTCCATCATTCAGATTTGCACAACTAGGGTTCATTTTGCAGTTTTATTGATTTTATCATATTTTAAAGCTGTACTTTTATAATTTCAAAGCAAAAAAACATCCCATATCGTGCGCGTCAGACAAAAACATGTACTCGGCAACTCTAGCAGTTATCTGGCAACTCTCCGTGCATGGCAGCAATTAGGTGCTAAAAAAAAACAGACATCTGATTGTCAGGGTGTAACGAACCATGGTTCTAGCCATGGCTCGTCACAAACGGCGGAGAGTCAGCGCATCCACACTGGTCGGCAACAATAATAAAACTGATACAGACATACAGAGCCAACGAACCACGGTTCTCCACAAATAGCGGTAAGTCAGCACATCCGGAAAATAAAATAGTCTTAAGCAACGCACGCAATTACTAAAATTAAGAACTCTCGATCAACAACTCTACCCATTCTGCATTATCTCTACCACTCAGCTATCCCTTTCTGCGATGCAGAGTTAGCAAAACCTCATTTCTAAACCCAAGCCCCAGCTGCAGCCCACACCTACCGCGATGCAGTCTCAGCAAAACACTTTTCTCAAACCCACTGACCCACTAACAATTGTCAACGAAGCACCAAGCTTCGACCCACTTACCACGCCCCACAATTATTGTTACCCAATAATCATAAGTTAGCAATAAGCAATTATTACCTCAGCCTGAGATAGGACCATACATGGGTAAACTTAATAAAAATGCTTTTAGCGAGACTGTTGGGCATAGAAGAGCTACGGAGGCAACATATGTATACATATATATACATACCTATGTGGCTTTTGGGATTGTCTTCTGAAACTACTGCTAAGTTAGTTCATTACAATTACCAGTTTTTGTTATAAAGATCGATAGCTTCTCTTTGTGCTGCCATTGGTCTGCACTTAGCCGAACAGGGGTTTTTGACATAAATGCAATGGCAATAATAGGTAGAAATGGTTTGTTAGTTCTGTTTTGGCATTTTGAAGCAATGCCACCTGATAGAATTACAAATTACAATTTTTTTACAATTTGCACAAAAAGTAGGCACACGTTTGACGCAAAGGAAGTTTTACTGCAATGAACTATTTTTTGTAATGCTTAATTAAAGGAAATCAGATTGCTAGGTGGCCACCTCGGACGCCAGCGGAATGAGCGCGGAAAAATTTACTAAAATGCTTATTTAATTAACTTAACATGTATAAGCTTAGATTATTTGGAAGAGGTAGTAACCCTCTTCAACTTAAACAAAGACAAGCTATTGCAAAGAATTCTCAAAGGGGACATTGTCAGCAACGTCAATATGTGCGAAACTTTGGAGCAATACAGCGTGTAGAAACTCTGGGCCTAATTTGAATGCCCAAACAGGACCACAAATGGTAGACGAACAACAAAAGGACAAACGATACGCATTACGAAAATTGTTGTTGGCCCAAACCTTTGACCCACTAGGTCTCTTTGCACCGGTGGTAGTCAAAGCAAAAATATTAATGCAACAACTGTGGGAGGTTAAACTCAATTGGGACGATGAATTGCCATCAAAACTCCAAACGAATGAAAAGAATACCAGGAATATCTTCAATCGTTGGGAAAGTTCCGGTTACCAAGGATCTGCATACCTTTGTAGACCCATCAGAACGATCAGTTTAAGTACGAGCCACATACAAAAACAATCAGGTGTTCGTTGCACTACTCTGCTCGACTACTCTACTCTCGAGTGGCACCCACCGCAGAACAATCCCTCCCACGTCTAGAACTGTGCCCTGCAGTTTTAGGTGCCGAACTCACCTACCGATATAGAAGGAATCTCCATATGATCCCTGCCACAGTAACAGGAAGCTGCTGGACTGATTCCACACTTTTACTGTCCTAGATTAACGTATCGGCATCCACATACCATACCTACGTGGAAAATCGAATCGCCAAAATCCAGTCATTGACTAACCAACTACAGTGGCATCATGTTTCATCAGCCAACAATGCAGCAAGAGGAAACACCGCAAGAAAGTTAAAGGATCACAGCTTATGGTTATACGGACCATTATTCTTTCACGGATCAGGAGATAAATTGTAAATAAAAAAAACACCCGTCATAGAGCCAAGCAATCTCGAGAGAAAGTCTAAGCATGTCAGTTTGTCAATCGCACCTAGCTCTCTTGAAGAAGAGTTATATACATGCAGACACAGCAAGTCGTTCAACAAACCCCTTCGTAATGTATCGGTTATGTTTCGCTAACGCTATAAGACGGTGGATAAAAAGAGTTCGATCATATCATTATCTCCCATACTAGGATATGATGAACTCCAATCCTGCTACCGTACAACGACTCAATAGTTAAAAATGATTCTGCGAGAACTCCGTGAGGAAAATATGCATTGCGGTGCCCAAGTATCAAGGGCAATTGCAAGGCAACAGTACTGGATTATCAATGATATGACTATGGCTAGACGCATCATACACAGCTGCGTTAGATGCACTATAACCAAAGCTGCTGTACCAGGTCATGGGCAATTTTCAAGCACAAAGAGTCACACAAATATGCCCATTAGTTAATGCAGGTAGACTACTGTGGACCAATTATGATCCATCATAGGATACGAGGAAAAAGGCCAGATAAGGCATACATTGCCGTGTTCTGCTGCTTCTCCACAAAGTCCGTACAACTGGAGCTATTAAGTGACTTGACCACAGATGGATTCTTGGCAGCACTCCGGCGGTTCCATAGCAGACGTGGAAAATGCCAGACTATTCCTTGCGACAATGCCACAAATTTCGTCAGTACAAATAACAAGCTAAAAGAATTGGAAGGAGCAATATTTAGCGAAGGGCACATGCTTTGATCACATTCATTCCTTACCGGGCCCCATAGTTTGGAAGCCTCTGAGAAGCTGCGGTAAGATCAGCGAAAAAGCTGCTAATTAAAACAACAGAAATTGACGATTGAAGAGCTGAGCAAAGTCATAATCGAAATTGAGGCAAGTCTTAATTCCCGACACATAACTCCAATGTCTAATGATCCAATGAATACCATCGCAATTACTCCAGGGAATTTTCTGATCGGTGAACACATATCTTTTTGTTAAGCGCTTGGAATTGATATCACGCTTAAAACATGCACTCTGAAATCAATGGTCTACGGAATGGAAAACCACCGCACTAAACGTGACTGAAGGATTATTAGTTTTGGTGAAGGAAGACAACCTTCCAGTAATGAAGTGGCCAATGGGTCACATCATCAAATATTATCCTGGGCAAGACAACACAGAACAAGTGGTTAAAACAGCGTCCGGTGTATACAAACGCCCTATCAGTCGATTAGCAACATTATACTCCGAAGAAGTTGTGACAAAACGATTCCACAACGCGTTTGAAGACATTGCGGAAACAGAGGAACCACTAACACAGCGGAAAAGGGTCTTGTTACCCATACTAACATCAACATTGTCAGTGCTACTTCTTATGCTTCCATTAGCATTCTCACAGTCAATAAATGTGACGCAATTTGCAAACAAAATGTCAAATGTAGCTGGGACTTTACAGCGGTAAAGATGCATTCATTTTACAATAACGTAAGGAATAGGATAGGTTACGTTACGCATAAAGTAGGAGTGACAAGAGAGGAGCGAGAACGACGAAATGTAAAAATTGACATCTCTCTTCTCTTGTGAGATCTATTGGAGGCATTGATAAATCGAAGAGGGAGAACAATTAGAATCAGTGTATATTATGGTGGGCCAAAGTTTGATCAAAATATAAATATATTTTTTTTTTTCAAGCTTATGCTGTTCTTTGTTAGTAAGTAAAATTAAACTTTTTAAAATCTGTAGTGTAATGTTTGACGGCTACTACCACTTTTTTGGTTTGATTTTTATACCCGTACTCAAAAAGAGTTAAGGGGTATATTTTATATGTTGTAAAAGTGGATGTGTGCAATCCAGAGAAGGAAACATTTCCGACCCCATATAGTATATATATTCTTGATCAGCATGTAACGAACCATAGTTCTAGCCATATCTCGTTACAAACAGCGGAGTGGTAACGGATCTACGCCGTTCAGGAACAACCATCAATCTAATATACGCAGAGACACCGAACAATGGCTGTGGCCACTTTTCTCCTCCCAACTGGCGGTGCCTCAGCACCCCGGAAAATACAATAGTCTTAAGCACCGCACCGCAATTATTAAAGAACTCTCGATCAACAACTCTACCCATTCTGCACTATTTCGCAACCAGCACAGAATTCCCAACCGCACCTTGCTGATGAAGCCTCAGCAAAACCACCCCGACCTACTAAAAATTGTCAACGAAGCACCAAGCTCCGACCTAGTTACCACACCCCACAATTATTTTTACCCAATAACCTTAAGTTAGCAGTAAGCCATTATTTCCGGGTCTGAGGTGCGATCGCCAGCTGCATAAAAAGGCCAAGATCGGCCGAAAGAGGAGGCAGTCCATCAGCCCGAACACGAGACACTGACTAAGCAGTCCAGCGCACCATACAACTACAAGCCAGAGTAACAACGTAAAAGAACTAAGTGAATGAAAAAATACTGAATAAACCAAGAACAACCAAAACCCAAACTCTCGCGTCATCATTTCTCCCTTGCCTACTGCATTTCAAGCCAGCCCGACACCTGAAGTCACCTGCAATCTACAAATTTTCTTGTAGCGGACCCTGGACAGACCGATGCATAC